TGCAACAAAAACGCGAAACTGATCCGACGGTGGCAGCTTTGAGAATCCTGATCGAAGACCATCTGGCTGTTCCGGGGGAAGTGTAGGCCAGGTAATCTCACTATCTTTGTGATCTTATCGATGAAGTACCCCGGCATGAAGCCGCCAAAGTTCTGCGTGTGGCCTCATAAAAATACCACTGAAGACTGAAGTCTGCCTTGCCGCCACTTTTCTGGTGTTGAGCTGGAAACAATTCGAAGACGGCTCGAGGCGTGGCTGCCGAAAGACATCATTTCCCGGCACAACGCAAGGGCGCGGTGGAGCAATCGCTCGAAGCGTCGTGGTAGGATGTTTGCTTTGTGGTTCGGTACTGGGTTGGCTATATTTGCGAAATTGTGCTCTCGCAACTTCTCCCCATACCATTGATCTATCTCTGTAATGAACGCAGGGAGAATGTTCGTAGGCGCTTGAGATAAGCCAGGAGAGCTGAGGGTGCATCTTTACCTGCCGTCTGGAGGTATTTGATCAACGAGGCGTGTCGACTTCGAAGTCTTGAGTTGTCAATGGATAATGAATGCATGTCAGTAGCCCTGTCTGGATTCGTGTCAATTCTCTCCTTGTTGGTGGCCATCTTTTCTCCTCAAGGGCTTTTCCTCCGGCAGCAGCTCAGTATGCCCCAATCAGGGAGGATTTTGTGGCTGTGAGATGGTCACCCTGTCATTTGACCATATCGTCCACCTGCTAAGCGGCGGCCGCGTTCGAACTCCATTCATGGTGTGCGGTATGTGACAGTTATGTCAAGCTGCTGATGCAAGATGGAAGTCCTCGTCGGAAACACTGGCGAGGACAACTCTTTATAACCACGTAAAGACGGCACAAAATGGCCACCAGTAAAAGATCATGAGATTTGAGCTTTGAACATGAATAAGCTAGGTAGAAACCGGCGTTCAAACGTTGAAAAGCATTATTCTGATGAGAAACTTGTTGCTGATTTTCTCAAGCGGGCTGGGTATAGAAATGGATGCTGAGATCCCTGTCTTGGTTATGTTCGAGAGCCACTAATTGACAACGGCGCAGGAGATGACGGCTTGCCCAATCAGGACGGTGTTACCGTGAGAGAAGAAATTTCCTAATGCAGTAATGCCTGTTTGGGTATAGACTACACAACAGTCCTTTTTGGCTTTGCCGCTGGATTCGCACCACGATTGCGCTCCATTTTGGGCTATTTCGCAGCTCGTCCACACCGGTTGAACTTCCCCCCTCCTCTCTCCGTCTTTTGCAGCTCTAGATTCGATCTGCAGCATGTTTTTGCGCCATAGCACAGGTTGCTGTTTCATCCTAGGCTTGCCTAAACGAAATCCCGAAACAATTACATGGCTCCAAAGACTGCTACGCACATTATGTCCCATCTCAAAGCAACCCGTCACGGCTTCGTGAGCAAGTTCAGGAATTAAGCTCAGTGGGCAAACTCGTGAAGCAGGTGAGTTCTATCGGTCAAGCTCCGCCAAGCTCAGACCAAGCTCAGACCAAGCTCAGGTCAAGCTCAGTCAAGCACAGTCGAGCTCAGTCGAGCTCCGCCAAGCTCCGTCGAGCTCCGCCAAGCTCCGTCGAGCTCCGTCAAGCTCCTCAGCTGAGTCGCTGGCAGGCACGGCCTCACCGGTAAGAAGCTCTTACATCAGCAGGCTCGGCGAAAAGACAGCATGCACCCTAGGTTATAGGGCACTGGATGGAAGCTCACATTCA